AAGTCATTGAAAGGTGAACATAATTGTCTTAGGGAGTTTAAAATGTAACTCTTAAATGGCTAGCTAAAAAGTTCTTTAATGATTATTATGTTGATCTCACATTCTCGATTAATTCCTAAAGCAAGTTGTACATAAAGATTGAGGCATCATAATGTCAAAGAGTGTGTTATGGTAAAATATTTGGTCCTTGAAAAACTGCATGGGAATCACAATGAGCAGCATGCACAACTGTATTCTTACTTAGATGAACTAAGATACTCAAATCCAAGGACAACAACAATTTGTTAGTTAGATGAGAAATTTTTTAAAAGATTTTATTTGTGTATGCAAGCAATGAAGGATGATTTCAAGGCAAGTTGTAGGCCCATTATTAGTCTGGATGGACGTCACTTGAAGGGGTATTATCAGGGTTATCTTTTGGCAACTGTTGGGATAAATGCAGATGACTCAATTTATCCAATATCATCTGCTGTTGTGGAGAGTGAGAATGAATCATCATGGTGTTGGTTCATTAAAATATTAGGCAATGACTTGGAGATAAATAATTCCCACAACTTTACCTTCATGACTAATAGAAAAAAGGTATGAATTATTTTTTTTATTGTTTTCATAATTGAAATTTACAATTTAATTTACTTATTAATTTATGTTTTTGTATGTATACGGTTTAATGGAAGTTGTGACAGATATGTACCCTTACTCAGAGCATAGAACATGTGTTAGACATTTGTACTAAAACTCTAAGACCAATGAATTTTTTGGAAAAATATTGAAGGACCAGTTGTGAAAAACTGCTAAGGCAACATATGTCAGGAGTTTCAATATACCATGGATTTGTATTTCAATAGGTTAGGGAGTTCCATTATAACCAATCGGCCTTGAATAATTTTTGTAGGTTTTATCAAAAACTACTTGAAAGTGGTTGTCGCTTATACTTAGTAGGACGTCAAAGAAGAATGTCAAACTCTTTTGTAAAAAATATGGAGGAAGTGGACATGATATTAAAACATGTAAAGGAAAGGTTGGTGGCAATACCAGAAGACATGTACAAATTATTTACATTTGTCACAAGAATTGTTAGAGTTCTGAAACTGTTAGTAAGTTTTATTAAGTATTTGAATAACTTATTATACATTTTAGTTGGCTGCTTGGTTAAATAGCTTATTATGCATTTTAGTTGGCTGCTTGGTTGAACAACTTATTATACATTTTATTGGCGTAAATTAGAAAAGCTAGAACTACCCCCAACAAGTCCTGCTTGAACCACCTCAACAACAAGTTAAGATAAAACCATCCCAAATCCAACAACTCAACTTTCATAGGGCCTTATTGTTAGATGGATGCCAACTTCAGAAACAAATCAAGATAGAACACCTCAACATCAAGTGGAGATAGAATCACCCCAAAACCAACTCCAACAACAACTCAACCTACAGGGCATTGTTGTTAGATGGATGCCCACCCCCTCCATACATATGAGTAAGGAGAGTTGTGTCAGCCACTCATATTCAAGGATTGACCATTCTTGATTTCGTTGACACCAAAATCATGTTGTTCCATTATTTTTTTTTGTATTGATCAAACTCTAACATGATCATACTCTTGTGATAAGAAATATCTCAAGTTCTTTGTTTGACTTACTTTAGTGGGTCACTATTTGTTGTTCATAGAACATATATGCTTAAAGATGTGATTATGTATTGGTCAAACATTATGTGATGCATGGATTACATCCAAACTTAATGGATTTATGATATTATGTATTTTTGTTTATTTTATTGTGTTCTTTTTAATGACATTATTCCTTCATCATCTGAAATTAATTCATATTTTTGTTTAATTCACAACTTCATAAGAAAAGATTTTTTCATTAGTTATTTGGGATTCTAGTACATTATAAAAATTGTTGACATAAATCTAATAAAATCAACCTTAAAATTATAAAAAAACCTAGACACCCAACTTCATTAATAGTCATAACAAATATCCCATTTGAAGAAAAAAAATTCCAGCAACCTAAATCTCAATCATCAAGAAGCAAACTTTCAGTATATTAAGAGAATATTGTTCCCAAAATAAAACTCACCTAAAGCACAACACCAAGAAGCAAAATAAGAAGAACTCTTTTCTTCTTCCTTTCTTTCTCCATAGTAGCAGCCCTTCTAAGAAGACCAACAATAACCACTTTTGATATAGCATTAACTAATGGATCATACCAACAAAAAATCTTACAACCCTTTATTCATTTTTCATATTTTTCACAACTCAAAACCTCATACCTGATTTTTTTTATTAGTCCAGTCTGTTGTTAGCTAGAACAAGCTTCACAAAAGCACACACGATTCATCTCTGCATCCATTATCATCTACAACCCATATAGATTTTCCTCATTTCAATAAAATGATAAGAAAGAATGGAGAAAATATTGAAAATGGGTTTTAGGATTCTTTTAAATACCCAAATATTTCAACTTTTTTCCCACTTTGTTTCTCATATGGTTTCTAACGGCTAGTGACTATTTCGAACCCATTTAAATAGTTCAGTGGTTATATTGACGTAAATTCGAAAATGGTGGTCATTTTGATACCAACCCCATAGTTGGGTGATCATCCAAGTAGTTTACCCTTTTTATATGTTCTACTAGCACGACTTTTCATTTTATTTTAGGGTAAAGTACATAAATAGGTCCCCGACTAGATATCATTTTATTAAGTCTCTCCATAATTAAACATTACAAATGGTTTTCTAATTATATGGAGTTGTTTTGTTGAGAACATTGACTATTAAAAGTTACAAAATAGTCATCCGATTATTCATTATGATCTAAACTCGTCTTTTTTTTTTGTTAAAAATTTGATGGCAGCCTGAGCTATACATTAACTTGTTTTGACTGAGATATAATAAAGTTTGATCTCATAATCTCAAACCACTATCATATCTCAGTCAACATGTTAACATCCAACTTAGACGACCGGTTATTTTTTAACGAAAAAGAACGAATTTGGAACATTATGAATACTCGAGTGATCATTTTGTAACTTCTAATAGTTGAGGGACTCAATAAAATAATTCTCTATAGTCAAAAGACTATTTTATAACTTTTAATAATCAAGAGACTTAATAAAATAATATCATATAGTCGAGAGTCATTTGTGTACTCTACCTTTTATTTTTATTTATCAGTGTACAAAATCAATTTTCTTTTGAGATAGTTGTCGTATATGAATATGGAGAATGAGTTGACGAACTTAAACATAATTGATGACTTTCTAGATTCATGTGGATTTGGAAGCGATTGAGGTGGATTATAGCTTAACGATCAAATTTGACGATAAGCGATTAAAATAGAAACAGAACGTGAATGTTAGATATAATTTAAAAAGTTTAAATGATTAAAATAAAGATAAAGATAAATAAATGATAATAGGTAATTTAATTTAATTTGTTAATATAATTAATTTAATAAAATAACGGATTCTATATAGTTAATTGTAGTAGATTCTAAACCCAACCTAAATATTGAACTCAAATGTTGAATAGATTTCAATCCAACCTTTTCAAACTTTATTTCGAAAATAAGTGAATGATAACATAGGACATATCATTTTTAAAGAGTTTATTAGTGATTGCTTTATTTTATGATTAAATGAAAATGCATTATATTCTTAAAATAACTGTTAATGAATGAATCCATATAATGTGAGATAATATAAATATCCATACATCTCTTGTTCGTTGGTTCGGGACTCCACCTCCTTTCATTGTCCCTCCTCTTACTGCAGACATTCCTTCATTTGCAATTCACAGATTTCTTGAAAAGAATTGTAAATAAGCAATAATTTTTTACTTTCATTTTAGCACCAACCAACTTATCTCAATGATTAAAGTAATTGTTGTTATTCCTAGAAGTCACGGGTTCGAATACCAATGATTGAAACATTGTGATTACAGTATTTAGGACACATACTACTTTATAATCACCTTAATTTAATAAAAAATTACTTTCATTTTTTAATTGTAAATCTATTTATAGATACTTGATTTATTGTAATTGAATATAATCAAATTTAACATAAATATTATGGGGTTGTTTGATAAAATAAAATGATTAAGTGTTGAATGATTCGATGGCCTGAATGATTTAAAGACTCTGCATGAATTAGCTCTGAATGTGACATGTTGTTTGATAATGGTTCTGAATGTACAATCTGAATTATGAATATTTTCATTTTTACCTTCATAATGATTTATTATATTATAAGATATGATTGTTTAATAAGACAACATGTGAAAAAATAAGTATTATGGTAAAATACCGGGTGCTTAATAATTCAGAATGTTAATGATTCAGAATGTACTTTAATGCTGAATAATTCAGCAGTGTTTTATTGTTTCATTCAGCATAGTCTTCATACAGAGGTGAGAATTAAATATGTTGAATGTTGAACGGTTCAGCCTTCAGCGCTGAATGGTTCCATTCAACAGTAAACAAACAGCCCCTGAGAATTTATGAACGTTCTACGACATCAATATAACAAGATTCAATATAAAATTAGTTAGATTAATTCGGTCGGCTACCGAAAAAAATAATATTGATGCACGAATTAATTTACGTCCGTGGTTAAAGGAATTATTGTTGTTTCTAGAGATCACGAATTCGAGTACCAACTACAACAAGGTGATTGAGTGTTTATTGTCAAACGATGGAGAATATTTAAAATATATTCTACTTTATAATTATCTTATCTTAATATAAATAAAATGTTGAAGCATTTTATGATAAATCAACGGTAACAAAAGTACAGTTTACCCTAATAATTTGAAAGGAAGAGGGAATGGAAAAATGGTTTTCTATAATCTACTGGCCAAGCCCAAAAGAAAAGGAGAAATGAATAAAATAATTTTAACAACTACAATTGGAAACTCCACGAGTGAAAAAAGAAAAGAAATAAGTGTTTATTTGATCAATTGAACCAAATAGTTTAAAGAAAGAATGTCCTTCAAAATGATTCCTGCCTTTGCAGCCTCATCTCTGCGTAGAAATTTTCAATGAATCTCTCAGCCCTCTCATCAACTGAATCATCATCATCTTCAAAATCTATTTCCCCTGCCAGGGGCGATTCCATAGGAGCAGCCACATCTTCTTCTCTCGCTTGAGCTTTCAAGCTACCAAAACACTTGCACCAAAACAGCACCGAGTAAAAATCATGGATGTTTCTGTTTTGGACCTCGTGTTGTTGGTTGCAGTAATGAACAAGAGGAGTAGTTGAAGGGGAGTCAAACTGATACCCTCCAAGGTAGCCATAGTTGTAATACTTGAGGAGCTTAAACCTCTTAAGCTTTATGGATTTCTTGAGAAAAACAAGCTTATGAATCATCATGGGTTTCTTCATTTTGGTACGTAGACAGTTGGACTTGGATACCAAGCTGTGGAGAATGGGCAGTCTCTGGAGGGACATTTGCATGGCTGTTCTTCTCAGCCACGGATGGGGGTTCGATGCATTGGACATTTTTTGTGATTGGTGTTAAATGGAGCTGGTTTTTATCGATGCAAAAGTATGGAGATCTGATGGGGGAAGCCATTGCCGAGCTGTAAAAAAGGGAATGGTCAGTTACCTTTTCTACTTATTATAACCAAGTATCCGTTGCATTTAGACCAAACACCTTTTTTCGTTTGCGTTTGAATTCCAAGAAAAAAGAAACATGGATTACTCATCATAACTGAGTAAAAGTGTACATATGAAAAAGTGTATCTTTTACGGGGAAAAGGTTGTTGGGACAAAATTACATCAACTCCAATGTAACTTGATATTCACAGAGCAAATGTCGGTTCATATCCAACCTGAGAAGACGTTTTATATGCGGCTTGTCTCATAGTTTTAATAGGGTAAAATATATAAATCATATTTTTTATTATAAGACTTTTTTATTATATTGAATATTTCAATTATGAAAAATTATAAATTCATCATTTAATTAATTGTAAGTTACAAATTTATCCATTTCATGAAGAAATAAACAACTACTTGAACTGAACCATTAACTTGTTAGGATTTGATAACATTAATTTTTATTACACCTACTTTGTATGTCAGATTTTGATTAAAAGAATAATTAAAGAAAAAAAATTAAAAATTCCTTTAAAATGTAATAAGGTGATCCAAAATTCCAAATGCACTGAACTTGATCTTTTATGTTTACTGCAAGAAGTAAGATCTTTAGTGATCATTTAATTGTGACATTGAAGAATTTTGTTCTAGAAAGTAGGTTATTTGTGACTAAAATTATTTTTGTAATGCCCCAAGTCCCATGTTAGTAGTTTTGGGTTGACCCGAGAAAGTTTTGGATAAACTCATTACCCATGTAAGAAACCTTGATCCAAAATTGAGTTGGTTTCGGCTTTAATTGCGCCCAAATAGAGATAAAATGGTATTTTTGAGTTAGGGCAATTTTAAAGGGACCAAGGACGTGATTTACCAATTTTATTTTTCAAATGTTGAATCTCATTTATGGGAATGAGGTCGTTTGGCTGATAGAAGAAACAAAGATGCCTTCTATTTGCATTTTCCTCACTATTATTGTCTCATTCTCCATTTCAAAATATATCTTCTTCTTTCTTGTAACTTAGAGGAAGGAAGTAACTTTGTTTCCTTGCAAGTTTAGTTTGAATTTCTAAAGGTAAAAATCATAATCTTCTCCCCTAAAGCTTCCACCCAAGCCATCAATATCAAGATTTGGCCATAGTGGCCATAGGTGGGGGAACTCTTGCTAAACTAACTAGTTTGTTTCTAGTTTTGAGTCTTAGTGAACCTTCTTAACTTTTTTAGGTTCCTAAGTGAGTTAGTAACTCCATTACTTGTCTTTTGATTAGTGAAAGAAGTTGAAGAAAGCTACAAAGCAAAGGCAAGAAAAAGCTAGCACTTGGTGGAACTTCGTGTTGTTCCAACAACTTATGATCAAGGTAACACACTTTGAACTTACTTATACCACTTGTAAATTATTGTATGCGCTTGGTTAGCTTGTATGAGTTCATAGAGCATGTAAGAGCATCCAAGGAAGATTGTGATTTATGATTTTATACAACATGAAAATTTACCCATCACGATCCCTTTTGACTTACATAAGACTTAAGTAACATTTAAGGGCCTTATGGAAGATTAAGGGTGAAGTTGATGTATCATTTTAGAGTAAAACAGAGTAATTATGTGTTTGATTATCGATATTAGATGGACAATATCAATATTTTTCTTCAGATAGTCAAAAATAAAGGAGTTTTTGGTTGGATAGTATCAGTACTCTATTCATAGAGTATTAATACTTTTCCTCGAGTATCAATACCTAAGGAAGAAGTATGAGTACCATCGTTAAATTGTAAATTTTAGTAGTTAGTTTTGGTATCAATACTTGGGAAGTATCGATACTACTCAAAGAAGTATTGATACCAATTTGTGTTCCTAAACATCGAACCTAAATTTGGTATCGGTACCCAAGATGGTCCCAAGTTTGAACAAGAGGAATGTTAGGGGTGTGAGCGTTCAATGTGAAATGATTGAGGGCTATCTTTGAATAGATATTGCCTTGTACTTATCCTAGATTAATAAAAAAAACAAGTATCGATATTCTATATAAGGGTATCGATATTATAAGGTGGTCTTAGGACATCAAATGTAAAACTGGTATTGGTACCAAGGGAGGGTACAAATACTAAAGAGCTTAGTATTAGCACTATTGTACTGATTAGATAAGAAACCTAACTTGGGGTTAATGGTTCGGGAAGAAGTCCAGGACCGCCAATACTTCTCTATTAAGCTATGTATGTAGGATACTTGAATAAATGCAATATGAATGTAAATGCAAATGCATGACACAAATGCAAAAGATATTTATCCCAAAATAACTATTCCGAGAATAATTCTTGAAGAATTTAAAGGTCTTGGTACCATGGGAAAGAGAAAGTCAATGAGTACAGATAAAATCAAGCTCTATATTCTAATTGCTCACTCTTGCGAGAAGTTGGATGATGCATCATTTTCATCGGGCTCTAGCACTACAAAATCTTTAGAGCTTCTGTTTCCTCTCCTCTCCATAATGAAAATTTGTTCAACAAGCTCGCGGCTTTTAACTTCTTCCCTCAGCATTGAATCCTCTTGAGTTTGGATTGTCTCCTTAACAGATAGACTATCTCCTAACTTGAAGTTGTTTTCACTTTGACTGCGGATGAATCTTTAAAATTTCGTCTAACCCAACGAAAGGCATTGTCATTTCAGAAACCTTTTATTATGACTAGTTAATTCAGGGATCAATACCTTTATGACATGACATGTCATGTTTATGAAAATAAGATAAAACATGCAAAGCAAACAAATAAAAAAACAAGTTAGTAAAATTAAAATAATAATTAAAAGAAAATAAATAAGAAAAAATTAAATAAATTAACTTTAACTGGTAAATAAACTATAAATACAACACAAAAGGAAATTTAAAACTCTAATTGCATGTTTTCTAATTTTCTTAGGGTATCCATATGGCTCTAAAGAGGTGGGCTTACTAAATTCTCTATACAAAGTTTGGTTTTAAAGAAAGTTCCCAAACTGTTCTTACAACCTGGTAAGGTAAATAATGACTTTAATTCTGGCCCATTACAGATTTTGCAAATTGAATTCAGTTCAGGTGATCATACCACTAAATATATTACAAAGAAAACGGTATCTCGACAAACATAAAGGATGCTTTCTAAAGGTACTTTCCCAAATCTACACGAAGAAAACCAGTATTCCTCGGTCGTGGGGTGTTTTCCCTCTACCAAGGTAAGATGGGATGAAGCTTGGGTATAGAGCTATGATATGCAACAATCCTATTTATTCAAACAAGTAAAAGCATTAACCAGAGAGAAAATATTTTTTTATTTTTCTAAAAAAACATCGTGAATCGTAAACGAAATAAATTGAAACTCAAAATTTCTAACTTCTAAAATATAGGGTAAACTACTCGTGGCTTAGCTCTATATTTAAAACAAATTTGTTTATAAAAATTGAGAGTCGCCAACAATCATTTTTAATGTGCAATTGGAACACCTAAAATCAATTAATTTTAATAAAACATTTTTATTTTTATCAAAACTACCCAATTTTTGTATACAAAATCATAAATTGGATTGGGAGTCAGTTACACGTAGGTAAGGATTAACACCCCCATAGTGTCCAAAATTGGTACCTAGTTGAATATCCTATATTTTAAAATTGGAATTTTTGAGTTTCAAATTTTAGTTAATTTAAAATCTACTACATATACAAAATTTAAAAATGATGTTGATTTACCAAGACCAATAACAACCACCCCTGAGTATAAGTGGAAGCTTCGTTGTCGATCGCAAAAAATGATATGCAAGGTTATGAAAATGATGTCAATTTACTTCTGGGACTAATACTGGTTACTCCTAAGCATTTATGCGGAATATACACATTTAACTCCTTAATAAATGTACATTGCCTTATTTTTTGAAATTGAAATCTAATCAAACACTTCATTATTAAACCTAATAACGTTAAGTGAGTTAATTAAAGCTTTCTTTTAACATAGAGTTTCAAATTATGAAATTTAAAGAACATAGAGGACTAAACCTAACAAATATAGGCTTTAATATTAGTCATAATTGATTTTAACCAATTATTGAATCGAATAATCGAAATGGACCCTTAGGCATTAAGGTGAGGACCAAATTGAATATTTTCTAAATTTAGGGACTAAGCGGTGAGGGGTTGACCTCACTTTAGTGTGTCGAGCTACACTAGTGTGTAGTTAGGATACCTCAGTTTCCTAGTAGGTCATTTTCAGTATTGTGTGGCCTTTGGGACCTTAGATATGCATGTGTAGTTACATCAGTCCAATATAGTAGAAATCCTTAAAGCGAGAATTATACCGATGTTATGTGACGTCGGGTTCCCCCTCAATGATCTATTTGATGGCCATGTGAGATCAAGAGATCATTCAACATCTTAGTGTGAATTTCACCAATGTTATGTGACACTGGGTTCACTCAATTAACTAGTTTCTGATGACTATGTGAGACTAGATACTAGCAGTTTTGCATTCAGATAATGTACAGGAGTGTCAGTGTCGCATTTAGATCATGCATAGCAATTACAGTCATATGGGTTAAAGACCTTTTAGTGGTGTACTCATAGAGAGGCCTTTAGCAGAGGATTAAGGGAAGCGTGAGACTCATACTTCAATGATAAAACAGTTCAACCTTAAGTAGGTAGCACTTGATTAAGATCATGCATATACCTACTGCTTAGTACCATGTCATTAGCATGCTTATATTTTTGGAACTCATAATGATGTTATAGATTAGTAATTATAATATTGGGCTTTGTAAGCTTAGAGTTTAGATGTTTTTCGTTCCCAAATCAGTAGCCAGATCCAATTCCGGAGCACCGTCGTAGTATGACTTTCATCATCTCCTTTATAGTACTATACTATAGCTTTAGTGGGAATATATATTCATAGG